CCAAAGTTATTCATATTAAAAAGCATCTCAAGGACTTCTGCATCTCTGACTTACCGTTAAGTTATAGACTAATCAGTCTACTAAGTTGCATTAGTAAAATAATAGAAAAGGTCATTTATATCAGACTATCGAACTTCTTAATTTCCAATAATATTATTCCTGATCACCAATATCGATTTAAAAATAATCACTCAACCAATCATTCTATATCCATTCTAATTCAGCAAGAAGAAGAAATACTGGAATGGTCCTATTGAATATAGAAAAAGCCTTTATATTTTAACAATTACCAGTATATTTAATTTAAAAGCAGTTGTTTCTGCTCGTGTTAAAAATGGTAGATTTATTTGCGTGTTTTTAATACTAATTTCCATAACTATGGCCGTGACCTCCTTTAAGCCATCAGTACGACCTTTCGAATAATATATAACCCGGAATATGTACTTTTTTGTTTGTCTTTAAGTAGGTTTCCGAAATACGGGCTGCATTTACTTTTTTTATCTTGTTTTGTTAGTATTATTATAAATTGAAATACATTTTTGGAAAGACGGTTCATATTTCAATATAAAATATTAAAGTTTGATGACCGAGTTATTTCTTCGTCATAAAAAATTTAAGAGTTAAAAGTTTCTTTTCATAAGGTGTAGCATTTAAGGACTCAATCAGTTTTAATAATAACGCTTTAATAATAATAACGAGAACGCTCCATGCTATGTGTAAAGTGCGCTGCTTAAATGCAAACTTTAATTAATTTTTATAATTAAACCGCTTTTCATAGGCCTCTAATGTTTTACCACGGTCAGTTTGGGCATAAAATCTACCACTGTGCCAAATTTCATCAAAATCCCAGACGAGCAACGTGCGGGTCCTCCTTGTGAGAACAGTAAATGGGAAATCACAGGGTCTAAAGTTTTCAGAGTTCTCCTTTACAAGCTTTTGATGCAATCACAGAATCGCCGGGTATTATGCAGATAAGAATTTTGGAATTCATAAAATTATGATAGTTTTATACTAAGAAGTTCACCAGTAAAATTTTTGTCAGTTCAAGTGTGTCTGGTGAAGGATTAAGTTCATATTAAGTGATTTTTATTGGTGTGTAAGAAGTGATTACTTCGGTTATAATAACTTATAAGTTATTCATTTTTTAAAATAATAGTGATTTAGTTTTTATAGATATAAATTCTAAAAAAAGAAAATGTGAATTTAATAAAGAACTACAAATAGAATATCCTTGTATTAAAAAAAAACAATTCTGATGTGAGGTGCAACTTATGTGCTGCGAATTTTTCAATCAGTCATGGTGGCCGTAATGATATTCAATACCCATTTTAATTCTGCGAAACGTAAAATATCCGCTTCTGATGTTGCTTCGACTTCGTCTATGTCGAGATTCCTAAAATGTGAAAAAATGGGTTCTATAGAAGAACTGTTAGCTGCAATCGAAGGCACCTTTGCGTACCATACTGTTTGTCATAAACATAGTTTTAGATCTATGGATTGCATATTTAAATTGTTACGAACAACTTTAGAATTTAAATTTTCGTGTAGAGCGGAAAAGCGGAAGTAATTATAACTAACATTTTAGCTCCAAATATTTTGAAAATATTGCAAAGTAATTTAAAACGGTGCGCATTTGTTTCTATATTAACTGACGCATCCAATCATAAAGAAATAAAACTATTTTAGAACAAAATTTTAGAATTAGAGCAGAGCAAATTGCAGCAAAAGTTGAACTATAGATTTATAGAAGTTGGATTTGCGGGTCATATTTTCCACAACACTATTAGAACAGCTGCCGATATTTTATTGATAGATGTTGAATTGTTGAAGAATTAATTGTTTCAAAAATTTATTAACTTCCCGTAGGGTAAGTTATTGTAATGGGCCGAAAATCGGAATTGAAAATTTTTACATTTCTCGACGTTTTGAAGGTTTCTGAACGTTTTGGCATACCTCAGAAAAAATGGATGTGTGTGTGTGTGTGTGTGTGTATGTATGTATGGATACAAATTTTCGCCCACGTTTTCGGGCGTACGGATCAACCGATTTGAATGGTTTAAAAAACATTCGATTCCTATTAATAAGGAGAAGAGCTGATTAGTTTTTGGAAAAGACAGGTCCAGCAGTTACGGAGATAAGGAGCAAAGAGTGCAGAAAATAGAAATCGAGTTTTTGAGAGAACGGAGCATCCGATTTGAATGATCTAAAAAACATTCAATTAGTAATGATTGGGAGAAGGGGTTATTAGTTTTTCGCAAAGGCAGGCCCAGCCATTACGGAGATACAGAGCTAAATATACAAAAAATGGCAGTTTTTAAGAGAACTAAGCGTCCGATTCAATTGATTCAAAGAACTTTCTGCTTGTCTTAACAAAATAATTGATTTTGAAAAAAAAAAATTTGTACCATTTTTTTTTTTTTTTTAATTTTTTGTATATCGAAAATAATTCAGATTTTATTTTTAATTCTGACTATAGTTCTAATATACTTTAAACAAATAATTTCAACTCTGCAATTCAGTTTATATAATTCTTATAAATATTAGACAATGTTACAATATTTATAATAATTTATTTGAAAACATTCAATATTCCTCGAACATTTCGTTACGGTACGGGAAGTTCCAGCAATTTGCCTTAAGGCACGATGCCACCCACCCCACTAGTTTATATTTCAAGTCGTATAAGGTTAGAGCCGAAACTCTTAACAACTTTTGTAGCTTTGTTGATACAGAATTTTCGATGCCATTGAGTTACTCTCAAACAAGACGGCCAGCATTACTGCAGTCATTGAACGAGTTCTACAAATGTTTACACCGCTACAATCTTATTTTCAATCGCAAGAAGAATGCCCTCTATTTTTATCTAAATTTTTTGATCATCCTCTTTATGAAGTTTAGCTACTTTTCATACACAGTCAAGCAATGGAATTCCACACAGCAATAATTCACATAGAAAGAGACGGTAAGTGTTTTCATTTCAAACCTTTTTTTACAATTTTTTCAGAAACCGAAATTATTTTCATTAAATCTCAAAAAGAATAAAAGATACGTATAAAAGCATATAAATAAAAAATCAAAGGAATCTTTGTGGCTAATTACTGTTTTTTATTATTTTTCTTTCACACAAAAATTGACAGAGTTATGAATGTTTAAAGACTGCGCGGCCGCGCAAATTAGAATAAAAAGTTTTTATAGAATCGTGAGTTTTCTGAAAATAGTTTGTACTAATGTAGTGAATCTGCTAGAATCCATCAATATGTTTATAATGAAGTGAATTCTGGAAGGAATGTGGATTACTTTTATTCTGGTGGAAATGGCGCTCATTAAACCATATGATTTAAAAGAAAAAAACTTCATATATGATTCTTATTTGCATGATAGCTCACTCATTTTACAGACAAACAACTTGTAACAGCACTCATTTTAAAGCTTATGTTGAGCACTATAAAACCCAATTTCACCGAAATGCATAAAATATAAAACCTCGACACTAGATGGCTTTAAATACAACAATTAAATCTTGAACGAAATAAAAAACGACTTTGCTCTTTCAAATCTTGCTTAATATTTTTCCTAGAATACTTTATGTAACACCGATTTATTAAGAATTTTATTGACATTATTTTGTTCATTACATGATTTTCGTTAAAATGTATATTTTAGGAGATATTTGCAAAAAAACGAAGAAAAACACCAAAAAATATATGAATCTTTAGTGGCCAGTAACTTGAAAAGTATTAGTTTTTTTGAAAAACTATAAAAGACATTTTTTTCTTATAATTAGTTCTTCTATCGATTTCCGACGTTATTTTGAAAAAAATTAATTACACAATTGAGAAGGAGTGTTATCCCCCCGGGGGGTGATGGCGCAACCCGAATTGTTTTCACTTTTGAACTTGAGGGTAAGATGAACCTAATTCCAAAATTTCATTCAATTCGGAGCACAGTAAAAAAATTCAGAGGTTATACCCTTTTTTCCTCTCCGTTTACTGCACTAATATCAAATTTACGAAAATTGTCTGAGTTCTTTTTCTGTCGAAATGGTACAAATGCTTCTACAGAAAGAATATTTTTTTTGATGAATAGCTTTGGGACAAGTGAAGAGACTCGACTAGAAATAAATACATTAACAGCCATATTGTTTACAAAAGTAAATTGCCCGATATCATATTACATAAATTCAATGGGGAATATAATGAATGTGGACAGCCTTTATAGATATTTTCAATAGTTTAATTCACAATAATTCCAAATTAGCACCTGTACAAAAATTGCACTATTCAAGAGGCGCACTCACAAATTCAGCTTCAAACTTAATCTCCACAATCAGTATTACTAATGAGAACTATGATATAGCTTATGACCTCATAGTGAAAACTTAAAACAATAAATTTTTGATAATTAATTCGCACTTACAGAGTATAGACTATAGAATAGAATATAATATTCCAGCTATTAATAAAGGAAGTTTTGAAAATCTGATGACCCTTCTAAATAGTGCAAGACAACAGATACATTCATTAAAAGTCCTATATAAACCTGCCGAACATTGGGAGGTAATTTTGCTGTTCATGCTGAGTAGGAAACTTGATAAAGGGACGAAGGTTGCCTGAAATCTGTGTAGAACGTCAGGACAGTTACCATCTTTAGTGGAATTTTTTACTTTTTTGGAACTTCGGGTAACTGCTTTGGAACATTCTTGTGGTTCAGACAGCAAACCAGCGTCAACAAAGAGTGTTCATACCATTGTCAAGAGGCCTACACAGTCATGTAGTCTTTGTAAAAGGGAGGATCATGCCTTATATAAGTGTCCCAATTTTAAATCATTAGATATAGTAGCTAGAAAGAGCTTTATTAATAAACATGGGATATGTATCCGTTGTTTGGCAGCTCGACACAGTGTGGCTAAGTGCAAATTCAGATACATCTGTGGAAAATGCAAAGCCTCTCACAATACCTTGCTGCCTATGCCCAGTACTTCTTGAAGTAGCACGGTTTGTATGGCTAGCAACACAGGTGTACAGACCTTGTTATCAACTGTTTCGCTTACTGTCATTGACGCGGGGGGAGCACAACATACGGTGAGAGCACTTTTAGACAGTGAGTCTCAGATAAATTTAATAACTAATTCTCTTTTGGCGAAACTGAAATGTTCCATTAATTCAGAGGTACATAGACTGAGCGTTTTGCAAGGCCAAAGCTTTTTGTGCAATAAGGCAGTAAAGTTGACTGTCAAATCTAGGATAGGAGCGTTCTCTAGAAACATCAATTGTGTGGTTGTGGATAGAATTACGCCAGCATTACCATCTGTATTTATAGATTATGAAGGCCGGAAGATTCCTGACAATGTCTCGTTGGCAGATCCGTCATTCAATGTGCCTAGCAACGTGGATATGTTGATAGGAGTCGAATTATATTTTGATGTTTTGCAGCAAGGATGTATTAGGCTAGGAAATCATCTTCCTATTTCAAGAAAAAGCTCTTTCGGATGGTTGATTTCTGGTGTCTTTAAGGCAGAACTTCAAGGTAATGTACACGTTGGTCTTGTTTCTAATGAGGATTTTCACAATAGTTCGACGAAGTTTTGGCAGTTAGAAGAAACTTCTTCGAACAATGCTATGACGGGTTCAGATAAGCAGTGTGAAGATCATTTTATGGCCAATGTTACACGCCTTGAAAATGGCCAATTTGAGGTGGCCTTGCCATTTGTGGAGGACCAGGTCGAAAAGCTTGGATCATCATTTGTTACTGCAAAACATAGATTCTTGAATTTAGAGAGGCGATTTGCTAGGGATGTCAGCTTGTTTGAAGCATACTCCTAATTTGTAACAGAGTATATTGATTTAGGTCATGCTGGGCAAATTGTGTTAACTCCGGAGGAAGCTGTCGGGAGTGATTATTATTTTCTGCCTCACCATCCAGTGGTGAAAGATGGAAATTTCAGTAAAATACGAGTTGTGTTTGATGCTTCAGCAAAGTCATCTACAGGTATCTCGCTGGATAACATTTTACACACTGGACCAAAATTACATTATCACAGGAGCAAACACTTTGGACGACTTGTTAGGATACAAGAGGAGATTGTCAGGTTATTAGGTGAAGGTGATTTCTCGTTGCACAAGTGGTCGAGCAATTGTAGAGAGGTGTTGCGAGCAATTCCTGAAAAGAATAGAAGCTCAACTGCAGCCTTGTTTTCAGAAGGAGATACAGTCAAAAACCTTGTCCTCGCATGAAATCCTTCACAGGATTGTTTTAAGATCTCACAAATTAAGGTTTCGGTTGCGGAGGCCCAGCAGGTTGTTGACACCAAGCGGTCTGTGCTATAGACTATAGTACAGATCTATGATCCAATTGGGCTCATATCTCCGGTTACCGTTACAGCTAAGTTAATTATGCAGGAGTTGCGGAGGCATAATCTGGAATGGGATGAAGCATTGTCGCGAGAACTGCAAGTTAGGTGGAATTCATTTAAAAATCATTTGTCGGATCTTGATAAACTGACTATTCCGCGTTGTGTGTACCATTCGGTTCTTGTGAATATACAAGCCATGGGTTTTCAGACGCTTCGTTGCTTGCATATGGGGCATGTATATATCTTCGAGCAACATATGCAGATGGAACGGTATCATCGCATTTACTGTGCTCTAAATCAAAAGTAGCACCATTGAAAAATGTCACACTGCCAAGGTTGGAGTTATCTGCGGCTTTGTTATTAGCAAAGCTTTATAAGCAGATAACAACAATATCGGGCATTAAAATCTCTGAGACCTTCTTGTGGTGTGACTCAACTATTGTTCTTGCCTGGTTGAAGACGGATCCTTCCCTATTGAAAATGTTTGTGAGCAACAGGGTTGCGGAAATTTTGGATTTTGGACACGCCAGGCACAGTGTGGAGACATGACTGCAGCAAAGATAATGCGGCCGATATAGTATCCAAAGGTGTAAAAACACCATTAGAATTAATTGGTTATAATCTCTGGTGGCATGGGCCAGCTAGGTTGTTGCAGGATCCTTCAGAGGTTTGTTGAGACTGCACAGAAGCGATTCCAGAGTGCCGAGTATTAACAGCAACGACTGTTACTGTTTATAATGAGCATTTGAAGTTAGTTTTAGAAAAATGTTCTACCTTCAATAAAGCAGTAAGGGTGGTTTCTTATTGGATTCGGTGGCGTCGTTTAGATAGGAGCTCCAGACGTTTAGGGTCATTGTCAGTTGGCGAGTTGGAGAGGGCCTCTAGGCGCATTGTTTATTTAGTTCAAAGAGAGGTTTTTGGCAATTTGGCTGAACAGTTAAGTTCTGGTAACCAACTTGACACCAACTTCAGCAAGCTGAAGTCATTAAATCCTTTTTGTGGATGCCGAAGGCTTGCTTAGAGTAGGTGGAAAACGCAGACATAAGTTATGACCAGGAATATCCCATTATATTGCCCAAAAACCATTTAGTGACTGACCTTCTGACTCGCACGGAACATGAGAGGTTATTTCATGCTGGCACACAAACAACATTGGCGAACATAAGACTGAGGTATTGGCCTATTGACGGACGAAACACAATAAAACGATTCATTCATGGGTGTGTGAAATGCGCTAGATTCAGAGTACTGAACAATTGATGGAAAGCTTGTCTAAGGATAGGGTCACTGCCTATCGACCTTTTCAGGTGATAGGTGTTGATTTTGCAGGTCCAATTGAATGAATTAAGGTCCAGTAGATTAAGAAAGGCTCCGCGCATTAAGGCATATATTTGTTTGTTCGCCTGTATGGCTACTGAGGCAATTCATTTTGAGTTAGCAACGAGTCTTTGCGTTCTACAGAAGCCTTCATGTCAGCTTTGCGACGCTTTATTGCACGACGTGGTTGTTGCTCCGTGATCCATAGTGACAATGGGAAAAACTTTGTTGGTGCCAAAAATTAGTTACGGCAATTAGCCACATTGTTTCAATCTGAGATATCCAAACAAGAGATCATTTCGTCGTCAGCTCGGTTGGGGATAACGTGGAAATTCATACCCTCTCATGCACCCCATTTTGGAGGTTTATGAAGGGATCTATAAAAGTGATGAAGCATCACATTCGTAGGGTTATCGGGTCGGGTGTACCTAATTCGAGACCACTTCTTACCCTCACAGATGATAGCTCTGATATATCTTATATTGGCCCCGGTCATTTTTTAATTGGCAACCCCTTAACATCTTTTCCAGAACCATATAACGATATTGCAAATGTCAAGGCAACTAAATTGTTTAAGCAAATAGCAGAGATGAAAGATAAGTTCTGTATTTTTGTCAGACCTACAAAAAAGACAAAAATTGTCAAAATAACGACCAAATATTGAATTAAATACAATAGTTTTATTGAAAGAGGACAATACACCTCCATTACATTGGCCTATTGGCTGCATAATAAGTACAAGTCCTGGACTTGACGGCAAAGTTAGAGTAGTTCAAGTTAGGACTAGTAGTGGTGTTTATACCCGCTCAATTACTGAAATCGTTCCTCTATCTTGTCATTAGCCTATACATTTTATAATCTGTTATATTTTAGTATTTCTTATCAACATTTATTATTAAAGTTATCAAATTATTGTTAAAGTATAATAAATAATTAAAATATGTTATCAATTTTTTATATAAATGTTTTATCTTGAAATAATATTAAGTTAGGAATATGTTTATATAATAGACTGAGACAATTATTTGTATTAAGATCAGCTAATCATCATGCATTTTTTTATATCATTATACAGTCCACTATTCATATTGCAAGTTTTTGTTTTGTTAGCATTAAGATGATTATGTTTTAATTAGTTTAGATATAAGATCTCAAGAAAGAATCAGTTGTAAATATTTATCATTGTTGTACTTTTGTTATAGTTTGTGATGCTTTCGCATCGCGTGGGAGCATGGGCAAAATTATCATTCAAATTTATAATTTAAGTTTCGCGCGTTCGTTGTGAACTGTCAACAACGAGCGTTATGGCTGATGGGTTGGTAGCATGTGTGCGCCACCTTCAACATGTATATGCAACGATGTGCAAATTGTTTAATTGTTGTTGACTATCTTCTTCATCAAACCGTCGAAGCACAAAGATCGCAATAAATATATATTAAAAATAATACATCCAGCGTTTCTTTATTCCACCAACATAGGAATTTTTTTACAAATTATGTCTACGCTACCTGTCAATGTGGCTACAGCAATGGCGGAAGATCGTTTGACCCAACTGACACTTCTCCATGTACATAAAAATATAGCGATTGATGTCGATGATGTAATAACGCGTTTTGGGAAAAGACGCGAGAGAAAAAATGATTTTTTAATTTGAAAATGTGAATTTTGCTTATCTTTTAAATGATTCAGTATGTTTTGTAATTATTATATAAAGTAAAATTGTTTTTTTTGTAATGATTACATATTTGAATGTTAAGAGTAATCAGTTATTATATATTTTATTTTTTATATATTCATTTTTATTGTATATGTTATATAGCGATTTTCAGGTGTAGTGTACTTATTTACATTAATAAAATACCTAAATTTTATTTGAAATAATTACAACTTTTTGCTCACGTGACCTTTTTTTAATAAGCAAGTACCCCCCCCCCCCATCCCTGGCGCCAAAGCTGAATCCGCCACTGTATCATACATCACTTAACTGAATGTGGTCGGAGAAAATATGTATGAAATTGGGTGAAAAACAAACTAAATTAAAAGTTGGACTCATCGAAGATGACAAATTAATAATTTGGACGAAATGATACACAACTGAAAGAAAAGGAAAATGCTATTCTTTGGTTAGTTCCAGCTATTTTAAAAAACATCCTTCAAGTCAACGAGAAGATATTGAAGATAGAAAGAAATTTAAAGGACCGAAGACAGGAACAAATTACAAAATACAGAATAACTTTTGGTATTTTGTTACAAAAAATATTTTAAGAAAGCGCTATGACACTAAAAATGTGATATATAATTATGATTTTGTTTTAGTTATGATTTAAAATTAATTTGTAATTTGAATGTAAATTTTTGTATACAATTTTTCCAAACTGATATTGTGATTAATAACATTAAATGTCGTTTTATAAGATTATATTTGTGCTTAGGGTGACAAAGTCAATCAAATCAACAATTGAGTTTCTCTGTGAGAAAAGATATATTTTATTGTTAGTTTTACATTAGCAAAGTTTTAAATACAAAACCTTACATACCTGCCAGAAAAGAAACGACATTTAATATTATTAATCACAATGTCAGTTCCTAAACACATTTATAACAATATCTACTATTTTAGAGATTATTTTACTTGTACGTAATTTTATTAATTGTTGAAGTTTGATACTAATAAACACTGTGTGTCTACTCTATGTTTATGTATATTTGTTTCTCTTTTGTTTTGTGTCAATCTACACTTGTTATGTTATATATTGTTAATAATATTTGTAATGCATGTGATTAGTTAAAGAATATATAATCAGTCAGTCTGTTTTTATCCTTCTGCATGAACGGTTGTATTATTGTTCACATAAACTTTTAACATAAATTGTACATTAATTACGCCGTGACGTATTTTAGGTTATCACTTGTTTTGCTATCCTAATATCATAGGAGCTAGCGCGCAAGGCTGTATCTATGACGATCATAACGCGCAAAATTAGGTATTGTTCTTTACATACAATTGATATATTAAGTAATTGAAAAAGTAATCTAGCTCTTTGAAACAATTTTGCACGCATTGGGTAAGACGTTGTGCAAGGGCAATACAAGAATTTCGAGAACGTAATCGAAGTTGAGTTCGTTTGGTTGGTTCGTTGAATTCAGTTGCGTTACAAGAGTGTTTTTCAGTGAAACTAGAACTAAGCAAGTATCATGTCGAAATGTAGTGCACCACGGTGCAGAAATACAAAAAGTAATGTTAAAATGCATGTCGAGAGCGAGAAGTTATTACTAACGGTACGTAAAAATTAATATAATACGGTACGTAAAAATTAATATAATAACCAAACTTTGGTAGCAAATAAATATGGTTTTGAATGTTATAGATGATCTTAATTTGGTTGGAAAGAACCAGAAATCTTTCTTTGGAGAAATTAACACCGTTTCATTGTAATAAATCTAGGAACGTGTATGACGCACACTTTGCAATTATATACAAAATGGATACAGCCGGCACAAAACTGAGAATAAACGCATTGCCTATACTAAACATGCAAGGTTTTTGCTTCAATATAGTATAAT